TGTCGCTTCCCTGCTCAAAACCTTTCAATGGCTCCTCACCTTCCACCTCCTGAAGACTTAACTCATGTCTTCACTAACAGAACCTGCAATTTGTTCAAGTGCCCAGGGTTCCGCAACCCAGCCATGGACCTCAGGGAAGAGCGGGCCCCGCCCCCACTCTGGGTCTGACTGACCTATGAGGATGCCTCCCCCACTTTCCCAGAAGTTCAAGAATGGGGAAGTAAAGCAGGGAAGGGTGCTTGGAGAAAAGATTCTTTGCATTTAGGGGGAGAGCTGCAGAAAGCCACTATCTCTGACAGCACATGAAGGAGGAAGTGCAGAGAGGCCCAACCACTTTAGGCAAGCCAACTGTCAGCACAGGAAACCAACCCAAGGCTATTGGCTGGGGCCAATACAGCAGAGATGGAAATAGAAAGACCCGGGGTCCTTACTGACGTCACTGGACGTTTAATTAACCAACGCTAGAGCCTGCCTTACCCCTGAACTTCCTGTTACATGAAATACTAAATCTTATTTTAAGCTGGTTTGAGTCGGTTTTTTTTGTTGTTGTTGTCGTTATTTGCATCAGATGGCACCCTGATACCCTTAACCTGGCAAAGAAGGGCCATTTGGGGGGGCACCTGGATGTCTCAGTCGGTTAAGTGTCTGCCTTTGGCTCAGGTCATGATCCCAGGGGCCTGGGACTGAGCCCCACGTTGGGGGGGGTCCCCTGCTCAGCGGGGAGCCTGCTTCTCCCTCTGCCCCTCCCCCTGCTCATGCTCTTTCTCTGTCAGATAAATAAAAAAAAATCTTTAAAAAAAAAAGGGCCATTTGGAATTTCCCTCTGCCTGGTTTCTCAGCCACTTCGACACCCCCTCAACTCCTACCCTTACTTCCAATCATGCTCACCTTTGTGAAGTTCTCCTCTCCTTCTACTTGGAATACTCTTCCAACCCCCACAGACCTGGGAAACTCCTACTCATCCTTTAGAACGCTGTTCAAAGATCACTTCATCTGTAAAGGCTTCTAGTACGCCTGAACAGGTTAAAAGCCGCCCTCTCTGGACCCTCCTATTACCCAGAGGGTCCTCACTTTCTAAGTATTCATCACTCTTGGTCCCTGGGAAGGTAGGAATTTTGTCTTATGACCAATATATTAACTGATGAACAGACGACTTCCATTTGTCCCCACCCTTCACTTCAGAGTGTTTGTCCAAAGTCTATCTCATAGAGGGACGCCTGGCTGGCTCAGTCAGTAGAGCATGTGACTCTTAATCTTGGGGTTGTGGGTTCGGGCCCTACGTAGGGTGTAGAGATTACTCAGAAATAAAATCTTAAAAAAAAAAAAAAGGCTGTCTCATAGAGAGTTGGATTCAAAGCAAATTACAGGCCGCAGACCAGCTTGCTAACCACAATTGCAAATCTTGCAAAGCGATGCTGGGAAACTATTAAATTTGGCAGACCAGCTGATGACTGCCGCTATTTTTTTTTTTTTTTTTTTTGACTGCCACTTCTAAACACACTGGTCTGACTGATGGGGCCCTTATTTTTTCCATAAGATCCTCACTTGATTCCCTACTATGTGTCAGGCAATAGGTCAGGCACCATGGTTATAACCAAGAATGAGACAAACTGCCTGCCTTTCTTAATCTTACATTCTTTAGAGTAAGGGAGGGAGGCAGTAAACACGTGCAAGTATGCTATATAATTTCATATAGTAATAAGTATTACGTAGAAACAAAGTAGGATAAAGGCAATGGAAATGAAATTTCAAATGTGGTTACAGAACAATAATTTTCTAGAAAAGATCCTCTCTGAGGGACACTGACAGAGAATGTGCTGAGGGGAAAGAACCACTCTCCCTACTCAGTACAGTGGGCCCCCCTGCAGCCACGGTCCTATTGTGTGACTCTGTCCCACTGGCCACAGTTGACTGGACCACGAGTAGACAGCTGACCCAAGTGAGGCCCATCAGATTCCTCCTGGGAATCTGGACGTGGAATACTAGTTATCTAACTGGTAGTGTAGGATAAGAGGAGGATTTGGCTTTAGGGCTGGGGCAGTTGTTGGCCAAGTACATAGAGAAAGAGAAAGCCGGCCTGCAGAAGGAAGACGAGGGGAGCAGACCCAGCTGAATGTTAGAGACTGTGGTCTGAGGGACAAAAGTGAGGTTCTTGAGTCCTAGTGGGTTGGCAGGTACAGATTCCAGGCTCTCGAAAGGTCCAGCTGGAAGTCCTCCCGTTTGATCTGTGAGAGTCCTACCTCTCCGATAAATTCCTTTTGCAGTTCAAGTTAGTCTGAGTAGGGGCGGGGGGACTGGGTGGCTCGGTAAGTTAAGGGTCTGCCTTAGGCTCGGGTCACGATCTCTGTGTCCTGGGATTGAGCCCTGTGTTAGGCTCCCCGCTCAGCGGGGCGTCTGCTTTTCCCTCTCCCACTGCCCCTCCCCCTGCTCCTCCTCTCTGTCAAATAATCTTTTTTTTATTATTTTAAAGTTAGTCTGAGTGTTTCTATGCTTTACAATCAAGATCGCCCTTTCTAAGAACGAAAATACCGGTGGTGATGACGATGGTAACAGATAACATCGGTTAAGTGCCAAGCACTGTTTTAAGAACTTTCCATATAACATCTATTTTTTTTCTTTAAATTTTTTTATTGTTGTTAATCATCATACATCATTAGTTTTTGATGTGTTCCATGATTCATTGTTTGTGCATAACACCCAGTGCTCCACGCAGAACGTGCCCTCTTTAATACCCATCACCAGGCTAACCCATCCCCCCACCCCCCTCCGCTCTAGAACCCTGTTTGTTCTTCAGAGTCCATCGTCTCTCAAGGTTCGTCTCCCCCTCCGACTTACTCCCCTTCATTCTTCCCCTCCTGGTATCTTCTTCTTTTTTTTTAACATATATTGCATTATTTGTTTCAGAGGTACAGATCTGTGATTCAACAGTCTTGCACAATTCACAGCGCTCACCAGAGCACATACCCTCCCCAATGTCTATCACCCAGCCACCCCATCCCTCCCACCCCCCCACCACTCCAGCAACCCTCAGTTCATATAACATCTATTTTAATCCTTACGACTCTTTGAGAGAGGAACACTTGCCAGCCCCATTTTACAGACGAGGAAACTGAGGTCCAGAAGTCACATGGTGAGTAGGTGGTAGAACTGGCTTTTGAGTCTGGTAGTTGGCCTCCATGGCCTTTACCACTTCACCATGCTCTCAGAAGCCCGGGGGAATGGACTTGAGGTTATTTCCAATGTGTGGAGTCCCTTCACCCACACCCACGGTACTGAGCAAAACCCCCAGTGTGAAGACACATGCCGCTTTTTAGACCGCTCCCTCCAACTGAGAAAGCGGCAGCCGCTTATCGATTCACAAGCCGGTTTCTAGTAACCGTGCTTGTGCCGTAGAAGCAGAGGCCCCGATGTCTCTCCGTAGCTAAGACTTGAGCTTGGACTCTGGGTTGTCATAAGCCTGAGTTTAAATCCTTGCTTTGCCTCATTCTGTAACCTCGGGACAGTTCATTAACTCTTCTGAGCCTCAGTTTCCCCACTTATAACACAAATTAAGAATACCTCTCTCATGGGGTTGTGGAAATTGAATGGCGATGGACTACAGTGTTTCTCATTTGGAGGCTGGCTGCCACATCGTTTCCCCATGAGTTTAGAAGTCTCAGCAGGGTCTTTCAAAAAAATTTTTTTTTATTTTTTTAAAGATTTTATTTATTTGACAGAGAGACAGCGAGAGAGGGAACACAAGCAGGGGGAGTGGGAAAGGGAGAAGCAGGCTTCCCACTGAGGAGGGAGCCTGATGCGGGACTCAATCCCAGGACCCTGGGATCATGACCTGAGCCAAAGGCAGATAGATGCTTAACGACTGAGCTACCCAGGTGCCCCCCCCCAAATTTTTATTTTATTTATTCTTTTTCCAGTACAGTCTTTATAGACAGCCACCATCTTCCTTCCACTTTAGCCATTCCTATTTACCCCAATAAGAACATCTATTTCAGGGGCGCCTCACTGGCTCAGTTGGAAGAGCATGAGACTCTTGATCTTGGGGTTGTGAATTTGAGCCCCATTTTGGGCACAGAAATTACTTAAATAAATAAAAATAAATAAATAAAAAGAACATCTTATTTCAGAAACCTGTAGACAATGACTTACAAAAATGGGCAGAAGGAAGAGGTGGATACGAAGAAAAAGATATAAAACAGGCAGGGCAAAGGTCTCCAGTCCAAGGGACCAGGCCTGGAGAACTGGAAAAGAGAAAGAGATGACCTTTAGAGGAGACACAGGATGCCCCAAGTGCAAGAACAAAGAGCAGTATAAAACGCGGTGCTCACCCTTGGCAGACGGTCACTTCTTTTACAAGCCCCAAAGGGTCTGCCATCCAGTTCAGCCCTGCATGCACCAGCCATCCTTCCCTGCTCCACATCCCAGTGGGGCCCAAGAACTGAGACCCACGTGTCCAGGGAGCTGCCTCGCTGTCAGGGGATGACCTGCATCCCCTCAACACTCATGCCGAAGCCCTAACCCCCAGGAGCTCAGAACGTGACTGGATGTGGAGACAGGATCCCTAAAGGGGTGATTAAGTTACAATTGGGCCATTAGGGTGGACCTTACTCCAACCTGACCCATATCCTTCTAAGAGGAGATGTGAACACCCGGAGAGATGCCAAGACATGCCCTGAAGAAAGACCACGTGAGAACACAGAGAGAAGGTAGCCACGGGCAAGCCAAGGAGAGAGGCCTCTGGGAAGCCGCAACTGCTGACACCTTGAGCTTGGACTCCCAGACTCCAGAACTGTGAGAAAATAATCTTCTGTTGTTTAAGCCACCTGTCTGGGAGCCTAAGCTGAATGTGAACCAGCCCCTAACCTGTGCCGTGTAAACATGCTGTCCGAACCAGACACGAGGTGAGAAGAATCCATAAATATACTGGGAGCACCCGCAGATGGTTTCCACTCAGGGTTCCTTCCACGAGCTTCCCCATGGGCTCCAGGCCCCTCCGCTTCCCTTGGTGTGCACCCACAGACTGTTTCCACTCGGGGTTCCTTCCACGAGCTTCCTGATGGGCTCCAGGCCATTCCGCTTCCCTCTGAAGGTGGTTTCCAGGCCCATCCAGGTTCCTAGGGCCAACTTCATTGTCCTGCACATCTGCTCTCTAGCTGGAAAGCACCTTCTGTATTCGTTCCCGCACTTCCTTCGCTCCCAAGGACACCATCATCTCGGCTACAGGGGGTCCTTGCTAAGAACGAAAAAAGAAAACACTGCCTCATTGCCTTAAGCTGCCGAAAGAGCAAACGCCCAGCCTCAGTCGGCAGGCGCTCTGCCTCAGGCCAACCCCAGTGCTGCCGCCTGCCCCCCAGGGGGCACAGTTAGCCTTCTATTGTTTTTACTTTCTGCAGCTGAGGCTGGCTCCCAGGAGCCTGTATTCCTGTGCTGATATGTTTATTGCCCCCATTCAACCACCAGCTCCGTGCAGGTAGGGAGTGGGTGTGTTTCATTCACTGCTGTACCCACTGCACCCAGCACGGTGCTTGCACACACAGCAGGTACTCCATAAATACTATCTGCTGAGTGACTGAAGGGAACGATCCCGCTTCATTTGTCTTTGTATCCCTGAGCCAGAGTTTATGCCGGCCAGTGAATGCCAGCTGAATGGATGAATGAGGGGCTCCAGGGAACCGTCCAGCCCATCTGCCCACCTACCAGCTGTCCGCTCAGGGCCACTCGGAGGAGCCGCATCACAGTACTGTGTTTGGTCCCTTCCAGGCCTTCGGATACCTTCCTCAGTTCGCTATTCAGCATGTCCTGAGTTAAGCTTGTACCGGGTCCTTCCAAAAGCCTAGAAAAGAGGGGTGCCTGGCTGGCTCAGTTGGAAGAGCATGCGATTCTTGATCTCAGGGTTGTGAGTTCGAGCCGCATATTGTGTGCAGAGATTACTAAAAAAAAAAACAGGGGAGACTAGGTGCTCAGTCGGTTAAAGTCTGACTCTTGTCAGCTCAGGTCTTGATTTGAGGTTGTGAGTTCAAGCCCCGCATTGGGCTCTACACTGGGCACGGAGCCTACTTAATAGAATAATATGGTAACAATTAAATAAATAAATAAACTTAAAAAAAAAATGAACAAAAGCCTAGGAAAGAGCCAGTCTATGGGGGCCAGTGGCAAGCAGGTGAGAGAAGGAATTTCGGAAGATTAACAGTCAGCTGTGACTGTTCAAGCCAGTATTCAAGCCTGCTTGGGGGAGAAGGGAGGGAAGGAAGATCTATTACCCCCACCCCCATCCAAGTTGAGGAAGAAAAATCACCAAGAGACCACATACACAGATAATCCAAGCACAATATAGGAAAACTACATAAAAGAGGTTTTACTAATTTCTACCTCAATATTATATGATCTCTATGCCTCAGTTTTCTCATCTGTAAAGTGGGGATAGTAACAGTGTCTGCACCTCACAGGATTCTTGTGGGGCTAAGTTAAAACTTGTCAGGCACTAGGTACATTGCCTGAACAGACAATAAGTACTCCAAAGTATTAGATCTCATATTACATTAAAAGATTAAATATTAGCTAACATTATTATATCCAAGAGCTCAAGGACATTGCAAGAGAATCTAAAAAAATGAACTTAGGAACAGGTTAGACACAGGATGGAAGAAGGAAGCCCTCTGGGAAATTACCTGAAATGCAGTGAAGGGAAGACTCTTTGGGGGAGTGTATAGCACAGAAGTGCAGGAAGAAAGACTTCAGGAGACCCCAGCTCCTGTAACACCACTCCACCAACTTGCTACTTTTTTTTTTTTAATTTTCAGGGCAGCAACCATGCTCTTGCACTCTCCCTTGCCTCCACTCTGGGACACATGAGATTCAGGCCTATCAGGTCTGCACATCCATGCTGGCCTTTATGAACTGTCCAGTGAAGTCACAGATGCTGCCTTCCCAGCGCCAGGAACAGCATCTTGCACAGCAGCATGGAGAGGTAGGTGACCCAGGCCTGCATGCATTTCCAGAAGGCCTTGTACTCGGCAGGCCACTGCACTTGGACGTGATGAAGTAGGGGAAGTAGGCCAGGGTGAAGCAGTTCCCAAAGTGGAAGAGGGTCACAGTGCCTGCTGCCCGGGGCCACTAGAGCGCAGGTCTCTGCATGAGCCGGCCTGGCGGCCCCTTCTTGCTACAACCATTCTTTGCCCACAAGTTGAAGTACTCCAGACCTAAAATCCAATAGGCCAGTCACTGCTCTCTGCTCTCCTGGCAGGCCAGCTGGGATCCTCTCACACAAGTGTGCTTGAGTTTCAAGAGACTCCCCAATCACTTAGAGCTGGACTTGCCAAAAAAGAATAACAACTCTGAGTTGGAGCGTAAGACAGACGCAGGGTGGGGTGGGTCTATTTGACGGCACCTTGCCAGTTCCCTTCAGCTACTGTGGAGACTCCAACTGGAAGTGCTGCCCAGGGGCTGGGGCTGGAGAGCTTCGCCGGTGCGGACGATCCACGATGCCTGTGATACCGCCTGTGCACATCGGGGTCCAGAGAGCCCCCTTCCAAGGCTGGGCTTCGTGCGGGGGCTACTGGCCCCGGGGAACCGCGTTCAGAAGTAACTCGAAGAGACTGCCGCTTCGCACTGACAGATTTCCTCCCTAACTCTGCATTTGAGCAACTGAGTTTCAGTGGGAGGCAAAAGTAATTGTTCTTATTACATCGTTAACTGGGCCACATGATGACTGTTATTTCCAAAATCCAGGAGACAAAATCCGGAAAATATAAATATAACGTGGGAAAAAACAGGTACTCTCCTCCACGTCACTGTGGGGAAAGAAGCTGCCAAGGAGCTGGTGAAAGAGTGACAGGCCCCAGGCGGCCAACAATGGCAGCTCAGGACACGTTAGAGCTGGCCCAGAGCTTGGCGTGGGCACAGAAGGGACTTCGAGAAATCTGGCAGCTCTGAAATGCTTGAGTATCGGTTTTCCTGCCTTGAGTGGGAGCCCCAGACTGTCTCTGAAATCTAACCCCATGGCAGCGATGGGGAGTTAAGGCAATGGTCCTGGTGAATCAGAACTAAGGGCCCCTATGGTAGAATGCCCTAAATTAAGGGAGTATTAACAATAATGGCTCTTGGGGATTTATCCTGGAGATACACTTGCAAACCTGCTTAATGATGTCTATACATAGCTATTCATTGCAGCATTGTTTGTAACTGTAAAATCTGGAAGCAGTCCAAATGTCTACCAAGAGGAAATGAGTTAAATAAATTTTGGTGAAGTGGTTTCATAATGGGATAGCTGCAACTATAGAAAAGAATGACAATGCTCTCTAAGCACTGGGCAGATCCACAGTATCTTAAGTGAAACAAACAAACCAAAGACACAGAACAGAACAGTGTTACCGTATTTTTGTGTAAAAAAGAAGGATCATTTAGATATAATCAGGAATAGTAGTAACGTACAGAGGGTTCGGAAAACTGGGTGGATGGGGGACAAGGATAAAAATGGGTTTCCCAATTATCTACCTTTCTTCTACTTTCTAGGCTTTAAAACCAGGTTTGAGAGATTTGAATGTGTTCATCATCAAAATATTAAATTTAAAATTTAAGAACTTCTAAGAACGGAGTTATATAAACATATTGTTGAATACTCTCACATTATGCAAAGGAAACTGCTAAGTGTGGTGCATTTCTATTGGGAGCTGGAGTAGGACGGAAAACACACTTTTTGCTATAGACCTTCTTGTACCATTTGTACATTACTGTATTTTTTTGCCACATGCTTTTCTTATTACTTCCAAATATGTATTAAAATATATTGAGGTTTCCAGGTATCGGGCACTGCCCAAGTACTTTGCACAGAGAAACATGGCCTTGTAGTCCCAGCCTGCCTGGGTTTGAATCCCTGCTCCTCCAACTTATTATAATTTTAGGCAAGTTACTTAGCCTCTCTGTGTCTCGATTTTCTCATCTATAAAATGGAGATAACGTTTTAACCTGATACTTCATTAGTTGCTGTGAATTTAAGTATACCCCCCCACACACACCCCTCACATGTACATATGTATATGTACCTAACGTATAGAATATATAAGATCGCCCACTGCAGGCATGTACGTAAGCAAACACTTATTACCTACTTTAACCTTCGCAATAAAGGTGGGAGGAGGTGAGGAAAAAGGACACTGTGGGTTTTGCTGCCCAGCATCCATCTGTCTTTCTCCTGATACCCCAGATCTCCTCGGGGAATCACCTGGCTCCCATTCTCAGCCCATGTGCCCTGACTGGGGGTCCGTTTAAAGGCCAGGAGATGATGAGCTAACCTACGCTGATTGGCACGTCACACTCTCCAGGCTTTGATGACTGGTTCAGGGACAGGAAAACGAGGCTACCTGGGCTCTGTCAGCGTCCATCTGCAGACACAGCTGAGGCTTTGTGCTGTTGGCGCCGTCTTACAACCACAGCGCAGATACGAGAGAGGCTGCCCGTGGGCCCTTCTATCCTTTCCCCCTTTCGTATGCAGTGATAAAATTTTTAGCCAGCCTCATAGCTGCCAAGTTAAAAAATCTGTATTTTCCATGTGTGTGGCTTGGTGTGGCCCCCGAGACAGGTGTTCGAGCCAGCAGGGTATGGGTGGGAATGAACATGTAACCCTTAAGTCAGGTCCGTAAGGGGAAGGAGCGTCCTGCCCTTCCCTTTTTCCTCCTTCCTCTTCTGGCTGAATTGTGGATGATCTGTGAGCCACCATGCACCACATGGACAAGAGCAAAATCTAGGGACAGCAGGACCCTGGAGACCTGGGAAAAGCTCTTCAGCCCTGGATGGCCACTCCATATGGGGTAAGCACTGTCGTTTCTGTTGTCTGGTAGAAAGTCCTACCCTCTATCCACCCAAAGCAGAGTCCTTGCAGAAAAAGGAGCCAGTACGGAGAAGTGCAGAGCAGAAAATCAAAGGGACAGAGAGAAAAAGTAGGTCTTGGTGACATATTTTTGGCCCCTGCACGAGACTGAGCTTAAGCCAGCTTTGGTTGTATTTCTGTTCCTGTTCAGAGATAAGAACTATGGTGTCATCTCTACCTTGGAGATGAGGAAATGGGAGCTCAAAGACGTGCAGTAAGTTGGCCAAAGTGATGCCGTGTGGGCAGAAGAATAACCGGGTAAGTGGCGGTACTGGGAGGGAACACAGGGGACCCAACCCCAAAGACCAAACACACCACCCCGTCTGGGGAGGGTCTGGGCTCTTCTGGGGAAGCCCCCCTGCCAAACAGAGCCAGTCAGCAATCATCTTGTCCAAACCCTCTTGCCAGCCATGGGGTGGCGTGGGGGCCCCACAGCCAGCCCTGGAGGAAGGGGGCCCCGGGAGAGGGAGGTCGGGTGTGGAGCCTTGAGCTTGGCTGTAGGAACTCACCCCAGCACGCGTTTGGCAATCACGTCCACTTTCTCCGAAATGGTGCCCAGCTGCGCTAGGCCCACAGCAGGCCGAGTCCACAGGTAGGAGTGTGCCGGGGAGACCAGATCCTGCAGGCGGCAAATGTGACCCTAGGGGGCAGAGGCAGTCGTTGGATGTGCTGTGGACAGGGCTCGGACACACCGGGAGGGTAATGGGGGTGCCACCCACTCCTTCAGTCTCCTGGAGCTCCCCGACACCACACCTGCCTCAGCAGGATGATCCTCTCCACGTAGGCTGGCTCCAGGACCTCCCTGTCTTGCAGCTGGCTCCCGAACGTCTCCTCCACCAGGGCCTGCAGCTTCCCCACCAGCTGGTGCCTCTGGGTCTCGTTGCTCACCAACCGACAGAGGTGTAGCCTGTAAGAGAAGCCGACGGACCGTCCTGACAACTGGCATCGCCAGCCCGCCCAACCCCCCCCTCCCCAGAAGGGGGGGGGGGGGGGGGGGGGGGGGTTGGAAGAATGACACATTATGTGAGCTGCCCCTCCCACAGCCTAGAAACAGAATATATACAGGAAAGAGATCTGGCCAAGGTCTGCAGCAGCCTGAGAGCCCCAAGCAACCCAGAAGAATATCCTGTTTTCAGTGTTCCTAAAATAGGAGCTAACATTTTAAACTAGGAAGAGATCACATAAAAATAGAGATTTCTGGCATCTCTCAGGAAATCCAAAGATCTGGCTGCAAAGGGCCCAAATTCCCCAAGCTTCAGTGGCTAGTGAAGAGTGGAGGCTGCCTGGCTCACAGGCACAGCATGCTCCAGTTTGCCAGGCCCTCTGCTCCCCAGTGCCTCTCCCGGCCGGCCATCCACCCTGTGCTACTGGCCTGGTCTCTACAAGCACCCGAGTTTACAAGGCAGACTCTGCAAGTGTCTGCCTCCTGGCACAGCTTAAAACATGGGGCTCTGGCACAAAGAGGCAGAGGTCAAGAATACAGATTTCTAGGATTCAAAGCCAGGGGACAGTTCAGAGGACAGAGTTGCTTCAATCCAGGGCTCACAGTTAAAAAGTTCAGGTTTTCTTTTCAGTTCGAATGTTCTTTTCCAGAATTCTTCTAACTGCCTTGTTCCCTCTCTTTGAAAGCAGCAAATCCTCTAAGCAGGCCCTGTTGGTCCTCAGTCCCCTCCCTAGGCTGCCCTCACCGTGTCCCCAGCAATGTTGGAGGGACCTGAGAAGGAGAGGTACAGGGCTGAGGACCAATCTGCAGGAGCTTGGCCCTTGTCCTTGGCATGGAAGGCAGGCAGCAGTGGTGGGTGAGTTGTGTTCTGAGCTCTGGAACCGGACAGGGAGGCCTGCGGATCAGACCAGTCCTGTGAGATGTCTGCTGCAAGTTACATGAACATTTAGAGCCTCAGGATGCTCATGACCATGTGGGGATGATGGGGGGGAGGGAGGGCTCTGTCACAGGGTACTGTGCAAATTAAATGAGGGACCATCTGTAAAGCACAGAGCTGGAGATGGGCAGGGAGTTGGAACAGAGGCTCCCACACATCAGCGGTGGAAGGAGGAGACCCTCTGGGAAGCTATCTAGAGCACACAACCATCTAAAAAACATAATGATTTTTTTTAGTTTTTTTTTTTTAAGATTTTATTTGACAGAGAGAGACACAGCAAGAGAGGGAACACAAGCAGGGGGGAGTGGGAGAGGGAGAAGCAGGCCTCCCACGGAGCAGGGAGCCCGATGATGAGCCGAAGGCAGAAGCTTAACACGACTGAGCCACCCAGGCGCCCCCATAATGATTTTCTTAAAAAGGAATTAAAACCACATGCTGAAACTGTTCCGAAGACCGCCTCAAGCAGCGAGATGAGACAGTAGAAAGAAGGCAATCAAGAGACCCTAGTGGCTAAGCTTGAGATAACATGCATCAGGTCCAGGGCCTGGGAGGCGGTAAGTGCTAGACAGATGGTCATTACTGTTACTACTCCCACCACACCTCTAGTGCTGCTCTGGCAACTACTATTACTACCTTTACTACTAGCACGGAAATAATCACAGCAGTGGCTCGATGCTAGAAACATCTCAACATGACAGCTTTGGCTGCATTAACTTCATGTGTCAGTTCCAACACTGCATCTCCTCCCTGATTAATGCTGAGCAAAGCCCACCTCTACCTTCCTCTGGCTGCCCTCACGCTTCGGGGGGGGGACTAGAATGGGTCACCAGGTATCTCCCCCATTCTATCCCCATTTCCCTGAGATGCTGCTTTCCCTACAATCAGTAAAGTAGGGTACAAGTTGCATTCACTCTTGAATGCCCCATTCGAGAGATGCCTGCTATTTACTGTGTGAACTTGGGCTTAGTTATGGAACCGCCCTACGTCTCGGTTTCTGCGTATGCAAAATAGAGCAGAGTCAGGCAACTGACCTCAGAGGTCTAATGGGAGAAATAAATGAAGTAACATCCTTAAAACACCTGCAGTTAATGTGAACTCTCTGGGCTCACGCAAGTAAAGCACTGAGGAGAGCCTGTCCCCAAACTGGTGCTCAGGACATGGCATCAATGAGTCCCTTGTCCCCTCAGTACACATCTGTCCACTGGCTTTACCGCCGAGGCCCTTAGATGGATATGTCAACAGTGACCTGAACTGTAACTGGATTTACAGCTGTGAGTGAAGCACTACGTGAAATGTACGACAGGTGCCATGAGAGGACGCTCATTCACTGCTGGCTGCGGGAGCTGGGGGGTGATTCTGAGATGAAGATGCCCCTTCTCCAGGCCGTGGTTAACAGAATCCATGCCAGGGATGGCCAGGACAATGGTAATGACAAAAACAGCACCTACTATTTACTGAACGCTTTCTATGTGCCAGGGACTGTGCAAAGTACTTTGACGCAATGTTTAATTTAACTGAACTTTTTTTTTTTTAAGATTTTATTTATTTATTTGACAGATACAGAGCGAGAGAGGGAACACAAGCAGCAGGGGTAGTGGGAGAGGGAGAAGCAGGCTTCCCGCAGAGCAGGGAGCCCGATGTGGGGCTCGATCCCAGGACCCTGGGATGATGACCTGAGCCGAAGGCAGACGCTTAACGACTGAGCCACCCTGGCGCCCCAATTTAACTGAACTCTTAACGACAGTTGCACAAGGTGGGTACTGTTATCAGTCCCATGTTCAAAAAGAGGAAACAGAGGATCCAGGAGGTTAGGTGATTTACATGCTCTGTGTCAGGTCACAGAATGGTAGACACCTGAGCCCACAATCAAAATCAGGTCCGTGTGATTCCAAAGCCCACTAGACCCTCTGCCCTGGGGACCCATCATTAGCAAGAAAGCCCTTTTCTACCAGCGTCCTCCCCTCCCCCTGCCAAGGTTCCCCACTCACCTGTTGAATTCTGGGAGCTTCTCCAGGTCCAACAGGGCTGAGTGGCAGGTGATCCGGGTCAGGTCAAACTGTGTTATCAATTCTGGCAAGGTCCTGCCCATCTGGTTCTCTGTAAGTAGGCATGCCCAGCCTCAGCCCCCTGCCTCTTTCAATCACAAGGGAGGCTGGTTGAGCACGTTCTGGGTTCCCCATTGCATTCTGACCAAAGGGATTCAACTTCTAGCTCTTTAATAGATCAAGGGTCCGAATGAGCTTTCATTTGCAGAAAGGATTCTGTCCCTCAAAACAAGTTTGAAAACAGTCAGGCTAAACAACCCTCACTGCCCCCAAAGATGCGAGCTGCAGAACAGCATGCTCATGGCCTGGCTCTGCCCAGAGATTCTGATTCCACTGGGTTGGGCTGCGGTCTGAGCATCAGTATGTTTTACAAGCCTCCCGGGTGATTCCCAAGTGCAGGCAGCGTTGAGAATTGCCGTGTTGGGAGCCCCTCCTCCTGGGCAGCAGCTCCGTCCCATACAATCAGTGGGCATCATAGTCAGGCCTGGGCCTCAAGGGAGCCTCTGCCATGTCCCTTACAGGCTGTGTGACTTTGGTAAGTCACTCAAACCTCTCCGAGCCTCTCAATCCTCTTAGAAACAGCAAGGAGGCAGGTATTTATTAATACCTCTCAAGGATATTTCAAGTAGTAAGCCAGATAAGAGCAGAATAAACAGTAAGCAGACTATCACTGCCACATTTTCAGAAATCCCCTTCACAAAGAGGTCATCCTAATTTGGTGCTTCTTTAACCTTTGGGCTCTAAGTCTTGGGCCAAGGGTAAAGGCTCAGCTGGAATAAACTAGGGTCATAGTAATCTTAGTAACACTGTTGAAATCCATACTTGCCACAGAGGTAGTAATATAATTGTCATAATCCTAGGATCTATAATTTTCGGGGCTCCTGGGTGGCTCAGTTGGTTGAGCGGCTGCCTTTGGCTCATGTCGTGATCTCAGGGTCCTGGGATCGAGTCCTACATGGGGCTCCCTGCTCAGTGGGGAGTCTGCTTCTGCCTCTCCCTCTACCCCTCCTCCCTGCTCGTGCTCTCTCTCTCAAATAAAATCTTAAAAAAAAAAAATCTGTAATTTCCATGCTTACTACGAGGCAGATGCTTTCCTGGATGCCTCATACTCACAAGCTCAGTGCATCCTAACCTTATGAGAAAGATCCTTATCCCCATTTTACAGATGAGGCAGGTGAGGCTCAAAGACCATAAGGTCCTTAAGGGCAGGGGTTACATCTATCTCATTCACTGTTGTAGCCCCAGCACTTAACACCATTTCTTGCTCAATAAACACAAGAATGAACTTCGGCAAGACTGCAGGTGGCACAGCCGGGGCTGAAGACCAGGTGGGCCCGAACCAAAGCCCCAGCTCTTCACTGCTATGGTCCCACAGGGACCTCCCAAGTGGATGGGTACCTGCAAACCCTGAGCCACAGTTGGTGATGATATCAAGCAAGGCATCCGGCAGGAAGTCGGCAGCCGCAAAATGCTCCACGAAAATGTCCCCTTGCCTCTTGGACAACTTGCTGCCATCCCTGTTGAGGAGGAGGGGCAGGTGGGCAAAGCGAGGTGGCTGCCAGCCCAGGGCCTGGTAGAGGAGCAGATGCTTGGAGGTGGAGACCAGCCACTCGGAGCCGCGCAGCACGTGGCTGATGCCCATGTGGTGGTCGTCCACCACGCAGGCCAGGTGGTACGTAGGGAAGCCATCGCTCTTCAGGATGACTGGGTCCCCTTCCACATGAGCCACCTCATGTCGATTCCAGCCGTACACCAGGTCCTGGAAGGCTGGCGCTTCCCCCTCCAGGCGGAAGCGGATTGCAGGTTTGGGGCCTTGGGCTAGCTTCTGGGCCACCTGCCCCTGGCTCAGGTTCCGGCACCGATTGTCATATCTGTCAGGGAGCAGAGCAGCATGATAGCTAGGGGCACCAAAGACAGACGTGAGTTCTATCTTCGTCTCTGATAGTTAGGTGACCTAGGTTAAGTCATGTATTTCTCTAGCTCTTTTTCCGGTCTCCAACAGGGATAAGAAGAAGAGGGATATATTGGAAAACCAAGTGAGGTAACAGCATGACACACACGCCTACCTGTCAGCCCGTCCCTCTTCTTCGTTAGCGAGGAAATGGCAAAATGCCGAGTCGGTTGAATCATGGCTGGTGTAGCCGATCATGCAATCTCTTTCCCCTATGCCAGCGACTGGTCCAGGTAGGACCACTCTACTCACTGAGACTCAAAGAAAAGTCTGCTTGGGGGCAAGCAGGGGAGGGTTAGGGTCCTGGGAAAGATTTTCTCTCCAATTGAGAGTGAAAGACCCACAAGAGGAAAATCCCTTTTTATTCCCTGCCTTCTTCTGCGCTCTTCAGCTGCTGTCCTATGAGGACAGAATGCTTGGAGCCACTGCAGCCACTCGCAAGGGATGGGGGTGGGGCAGGAGAGGCAGGGAGGAGCCAAAACAGAGCTCTGATGTCTTGAAGCTGCTGGTTTTATCCTTGAGTCTCTCACCTCCAGACTTTTTCTTTTTTTTTGGTTGCAAAAAGGTGGTTTTACTAAAGCATGGGGACGGGACCTATGGGCAGAAAGAGCTGCTGCCTCACCTCCAGACTTCTGCAGAGTAAGTGGTAAATGTCTGTGGGTTATGCCCTGGCTACTCCAAGTATAGTCTGTGGACCCCCAGCAGCAGCTCCACCTGGGAGCCGGTCTGAAATGCGGCATCTCGGGCGCACCCCAGATCTGGTGGATCTGAATCTGCGTGTTAACTAGATCCCCAGGTGAGCCATCTGCATGTGAAAGTACGAGAAGCTTTGGCTCGTCCCCTTTTTTTTTTCTTTATTTCTTTTAGTAAACTCTACCCCCAACATGGGGCTTAAACTCATGACCCTGAGATCAAGAGTCGCGTGCTCCTTTGACTAACCCAGCCTGGTCCCCTGGTTTGTCCCTTTTCCATAGGGCATTCCATTACTTGCTCCCCAAAGCATCCTGATACACAAATTTAAGGCTTGAAAACATACTCCTTAACACAGAGTTGTTAATTAGTAAATGGCTGTGTGGATTCCACAAGAGAACTTGACCGTAATTTTAAAAAAAGAACCTTCTGCCAATGGACAAGTGGACTGTTTTAATAAAAGAACAATGCTGCAATGAATGTCATGACCTCATAGAAACATCCAGCCCTTGCCCAAACAGTTCATTTAAATTGGAACTCCCCAGTGGCACTTGGCTGGCTCAGTCGGTAGACCTTGCGACTCTTGATCTCAGGGTCGTGAGTTCAAGCCCCACATTGGGTGTGGAGCCTACCTTAAAAAAATAAAAAAAGGAAGGGGGGGTGGCGCCTGGCTGGCTCAGGCAGAAGACCATCTGACTCTTGATTTCAAGGCTGTGAGTTCAAGCCCCATGTTGGGTGTACAGGTTATTTAAATAAACTTAAAAAAAGTTTTAAAAGTTCTTTAAAAAATAGGGGCTTCTAAAAAAAAATAGGGGCTCCTGTGTGGATCAGTTGGTTAAGCGTCTCTGGATTTCAGCTCAGGTTGTGATCTCAGGGTCATGAGACGGAGCCCCACATTGGGCTCCATGAACAGTGTAGAGCCTGTTTGAGATCCTCTCTCTCCCTTTGCCCCTCCACCCAGCCCCCCACGTTCACACGCATGCACCCTCTCTCAAAAAAAATAACAAAAAAATAAAATTCTTTAACAATAAACGTGGCTCAGTTGGTTAAGCGACTGCCTTCAGCTCAGGTCATGATCCTGGAGTCCCGGGATCGAGTCCCGCATCGGGCTCCCTGCTCAGCGAGGAGCCTGCTTCTCCCTCTAACCCTCCCCCCTCTCATGTACTCTCTCTCTCTCATTCTTGTTCTCTCAAATAAATAAATAAATAAGTCTTTAAAAAAATAAATAAATAAGTGGAACTCAGATGTCCTGATGCCACTGCTGATAGGAAGCAAGGTGGTCAAGGGCCACAGGGCAGTGTCTATCAAAGCTCCAAACTGGCCCTGGATTCCCACATCTAGGAGGGTCTCCAACAAACGCCCTGCACATGGGTACAACGATGTATGTCACCACGATCCACCCCAGCTCTTCTGTTTTAACTACAGATTAGAAATGGCAAAAAGCTTCATTGGTAAGAAACTGGTTAAGGGCTGGTACATCTGTACAGCAGAATATTACACAAGCCAAACAAAAATCTACGGGCCAGTACAGACTGGGTCTCCTCAAGATGGTAAGTGGGAACAGTTAAGTTGCACAGTCTGCATATTGTGTGCTGCCGTTGAAATCAGGGAGAAGACAAACAATACGCATTTCTCAGGGTCTGCATCGAGTGTCTCTGGAGGAGACCTAAGAAGATTCTAATGGCATTTGTCTATGGCGAGGGAAACGGAGTGGCCAGAGTCAGGGTTAGGAAAGATCTTTGCACACATAGCGCTCTGGACCTGAAAACATTTTACTTCCTCAGAACAACCAATAACTGAAATGGCACGTTAGTGCTGCCTGAGAGCCAATGTGGCAGGCAGCTCTGACATGGCCCAAGTGATCCCAACCTTCGGGGCTTCTGCCCCCGTGGCATCCCCTCCCTGGAGCATGGGCTGGACCTAGTGGCTTCTTTCTTACGAACAGAATGCAGCAGAAGTGATGAGATGTCTCTTCCTGGATTCAGTTACGAGAAGACCCGGGTTTCTGTCTTGCTTGCTCTCTTTTGCTTTCGGTCTGGCTCACTCGCAGCGAAGCCAGCTGCTGTGCGGGGAGCTGCCCTGTGTCCAGGCCCGCATGGCAAGGAGCTCGAGTCTCCAGACAACAGCCAGTGTGGCCCGGGGTCTGCCAACAGCCTCACGAGAGAAACGGAAGCAGATCCTCCGCCAGCCAAGCCTTGAGAAAACTGCAAACCTGGCCAAAACCTTGACTGGAGCTTTGCGAGAGACCCTGAACCGAGGGAGCCAGCTAGGCTGTGCCCAGGCTCCCGACCCACAGAGGCCATGCAGAGACCACAGTCTGGGGGCGATCTGTTACACAGCAACAGCCCAGGGACATATGCAACTTCGGGGAAGCAGCCTCGAGAGGCTGGGGCTCTCACCGGGGCGTCTGATGGTTCCTCAGGGCCTCCTTCTTCAGGAGCTCCAGCCGCTGCGGTGAGCAGAAGCAGGGGTAAGCGGCGCCAGACTCCAGCAGCGCTTCCGTGGCCTGGGCGTACAGCTCGAGCCGCTGGGATTGCTGGTAGGGCCCGGCAGGACCTCCCCGGCGGGGGCTCTCGTCAGGCGGGATGCCTTGCGACACAGCAAGAAACCATGATCACCAAGATGCTCGCAGCACTGGTTCCTGGGCACTGTTCTCTGTGCTGTAGGCAAACAGTAAATCTCCCAATCCTCACAACAATCCTCAAGGTCATTACTGTTTCGATTTCCCTTGTACAGATGAGTTGAGAGATAAGAGAGGCTAAGGGCTCAAGGTCGTGGGGCCTGCCAGATAAGGAGTCACGGAGGTGTGTTGCCTCCGCAGTCCACGCTCCCGACGGCACTTCCTCTTCTCCCATCCCTTCCCCGTGGAGCGGGAGAGCAGCCCAGGCCTGGAACAGCTAGCTCAGGAGAACGAGGAATGGGTCAGGGCACAGCCCGGCAGGCCCTGGCTGGACCCCTAGTTCTGTGCCTCAGAAGCTGGGACAAGGGACCCTGAAGATGTGTGAGAGCTGCAGGGCCACAAACCTACCAGGCTGCTTTTATGTTCTATGATCTCCACTAAAGCCTCAGAACCGCCCTGCCACGTAGATGCCATCCTGACGCCCTTCAGTAGGGATACTGAGGCACAGGCGGGCTCTGTTCCCTCACTTGGCCAAGGACAAGGGGTGCAACTGCATGGGAACCCAGACGAGGAGGCCCCAGAATCCATGCTTTTAACCTCAGCAGCCTTCCCCGCAAAGCAGAGCGAACAGTCTACCATGCGGAACGGCAGCAAGAACGGGATGCATCAGCACTTACACAGTGCTCAGCCCAAGGCTCACCTGCAGAGCTGCCACGCTGTGTGCCGTGAAATGAAATGGGACCTGTTCTAAGGCACAGCCCCAACCCAAGGTCCAGTTTCCTCAGGTCACAAAGGACAGATTTGACCAATAAACACTTCCCGTAGAGATAGAAGGGACACAGGAGAGCCGGACGGTGGTGTTTCTGACCTCAAATGGCTTTCCAATGAGTTCGGAAAGTGAGGACATGATTAATCCTGCATACCCGACATTAACACAGATTCTGCAGGCACATAGGCCTGGGTTCAAACACACTGGTCTGCTCTGGGGCCTTGAGCAAGTCACCCTTCAGAGACTCCATTTCCTAGTTACGAATAACAACTCTCCTGGGCATCACCATGCTGTTAGCACGAGCCGACACACGTGAAGTGCTCAGTGCCTCGTTACCTAAGTGCTAAGCACTCAGTTTGGGCTGTGATCATGTTCATTCAGCTCCCTCTCTGGCTGGGCCTCTATTCATTTGTCAGAAAAGACAGTGACTTAGGTACATTTGGGAGCCCCTTCCTGACCTAACCTTAACATGTTTGGTACTTGGATTGCCCCAGGGCTTAAGAGCAATTCCACTAGGGGAACTGAAAACGTATGCTCACGTAAAAACTAGTATGTAAATGTTCACAGCAGTTCCATTCTTTGGAGTCAAAAAAGTGGGGCAGCCGGGTGGCTCAGTGACGTGTTCAACACTTGACTTTGGCTCAGGTCATGATCTCAGGGTCATGAGATGGAGCCCCGAGTCGGGCTCCGTGCTCAGTGGGGAGTCTGCTTGAGATTCTCTCTCTCCCTCTGCCCATCCACCGCTTGCTCTCTCTAAAATAACTAAATCTTAAAAAAAAAGTCAAAAAAGTGGAAATAATCCAAATGCCCATCCACTGATGAACAGAAGGTGGTATTTCCATATAAGGAATATTATTTGGTCACAAAGAGGAATGAAGTATTGACATGTGCTACAACACAGAACCCCCCCCCGCTAAGTAAGAGCCAGTCACTAAAGGTACATGTTATTCGAGTCCATTTATCTGAGATGTCCGCAATCAGCAAACCACACAGACAGAAAGTAGATTAGTGATTGCCGGGGCTGCGAGGAAGCAGGAATAGGGAGCAACTGCTAATAGATACAGGGTTTTGTTTTGGGAGGATGGAAATGTTCTGAAACTGGATGGTGGTGATGGCTGCCATAACAGTGAATATACTAAAAAACCACTGATTTGTACACTTTGAAATGGTGAATTTCATATCCAGTCAATTATGTCAGTTACAACAACAGCAACACAAGGTGACTCCCAAAGCAGGAAGCTACAGAAGTCAGCCACTGCTCTGCCTCATCACAAGGCTGGGGGCGGGGGGGAGCTCCGCTGAGGGGCCGCAGGCCACACTCATGCAATCGTGCTGCCCCAGGAGCTCCGAGGGTGGGACCTGTTTGTCACTGTACCACTCATGCCTAGTACAGTGCCTGACGGGTAGCAGGAGCTCCCTGAAATCCAAGTTCTCAACCTGGTCTGCCCAGCGCTACGTGGTTCAGCTCCGGCCAACCCGTCTTCGCAGTCCCTCTGCTTTGCTCACTGTGCTTGGGCCACGCCGGCCTCTTCGCTGTTCCTCTAACACACCCTACACTTTCCTGCAGCAGGGCCTTCCCATCTGCTCTTCCCTCTGCTTTGAATAGTCTTCGCCCAGGCAACCACAGGGCTGGCCCTTCACTGTGCAATCTCTGCTTTCGGGTCACCTCCTCCTAGAAGACCACCCTATCTGAGAGAGGATCCCTCCATGCCAGTTCCCTAACCTGTCACCCTTGTCTCAACCGCACTCATCAACACTTAATGTCACAGTGAGGATGAATTAATCTGTTCATCTGTCCTCTCCTACTTACTGGGCACTGGGTGTCTGTTCAGTGCTGGAACAGGACCTTCATTACAGTAAGTGATCTTCGTGAATGAATTCCTTTATTCAACTCATTTTTTTTTTTTTTAAGATTTTATTTGACAGAGAGAGAGAGAGACAGTGAGAGAGGGAACACAAGTAGGGGGAGTGGGAGAGGGAGAAGCAGGCTTCCTGCTGAGCAGGGAGCCCGATGTGGGGCTTGATCCCAGGAACCTGGGATCATGACCTGAGCCAAAAGCAGACGCTTAACAACTGAGCCACCCAGGCACCCCTTATTCAACTAATCTTAACTAAGCATCTGCTATAACATTCTACAACAGAAGGTACAAATGAAATTGGTTTTTGACCTTTGGGAACCCAAAGTCTCGTTAATAATTTACCTGAGATTAAGATACACGTCTCATAAAAGTCTTGGAATTTTTGGTATTTTTCTTTGGTGAGCTTAACTGGTTATACCTGCCCTGACAGGTAGGCGACTGTTGACCCAGGGAACATACACTCTTCCTTGTCTTCCTGGAGTTTAGGAGGCCTCTGGATTAAACATCCCACAAGACTGACTTTAGAGGCTGCACACATTTTGTTTGGCTCACACAACGTGGTTTAAAAAAAAAAATCTGGGCTCAAGTTTAACAATGGGAAGTATTCATTAAAAAAAAAAAAACAGTAATAAAAACCTGGATTTCTGACTCCTCTGGGAAGTAAGAAGATTGAACAAGTTGGGCCAGCACTCCCACATGGGAACAAGGAGCTGGAGCTTTCTCCTGCTCACTACAGGCCTCGCCTCTCCAGCTCCATCCTATGCTTGGCCTGAGATCCTGAGGTAAGAACAGGAACCTCAGAATAGCCTTGGAGCTTTTCCTCAGGGAGCTTCAGCATGTTTTGGGGAGGCACATGCCACCTGGGGCAGCATAAATGTACCCACCTCTCTAGGAAGTCCTCGTTCTCCATCTTGGTCCCCGTGAGAAGACCTACAGGCTCCTTTCCCTGCTCCCTCTTCCCCCTTGGAGAAGGGTCCTTCCCCGGCCTGCCTCACCTGCCCATTCCAGCATGTCTTCAATATTCTCTGCTGCCCCAGGCACAAGGCGGGTCTGATCTGTGTCCTCCAGCCTGAGGAGGAAGCTCCCCTGGTGCTTCTTGGCAAAGATATAGTTGTACAGGGCAGTGCGGAGGCCGCCCAGGTGCAAGAAGCCTGGGAAAAGAAAAGAACAGCTCAGACAAGACACGGAAGATGAACTGACATGCCTCAGCCAAGAGGCAAGCATGCCCTGCTTGTAACAGGATGTCCCAGTGAGTATCAAAGCTCAAAAAAATGCTACCCCGTCCCATCTTTCTAGTCAGGACCCAGAGAGATGGCCACAGAGGATGGGAGTGGTCCATTCGTTTAGCCCCTCATCCCGGAAGCAAAAGACCACCCACGTCTTAAGAGCGTGTAATGTTGTAAAGACTCCCAACTCTCCCCAGCTGCACCCACTGTTCTATTTTGAGATGTGCCTCAAAGCCAAGTTTTACCCAAATGAGGACAAGCAGAGGATTATCCATGGAAGCCATATCACATGCGCACTTAGCGTGTGCAAATTCAGTGATATGCTTGGGTAAAAAAAAAATTAATTACAAACTGGAGATACCATACAATTACATTTTGCATAGACTCTCTGATTTTCACCTGAAGTTTTGGCTTTGAACACTAACCAAAAGTAATACTTGATTCTACTATATTTCTCTTCACCTGAGTTCAAACTCCTAAGATTTTACTTTTCTATCATTCCTGACTTAAAGCTTAAAATTAAACATTTTCCCATTTCCCCTTGTCCTGTCTTCTTCAGGTCAGGCCACGGCCCTGTCTCCATGACGAGCTTCTGAGCATCTACAGAAACAGGAGGCAGCAAAGGACACGAAAGGCAGACTCCCATTCAACACTGATTATGTGTGACTCTCTGCTGGTTATCGCAAGGCCACCACAAAATCAGTAGTCCCCAAGATGGAAGACGGGGGTCCAGTAATTGAAAGCAAGACCCCTTAAATAAACCTGGATTTAAATTCTGCATCCATTTACTGGTTGCTATCCCATGGGCACCCTACTTCACTTGTCTGAGCTTCAGTCTTCCATCTGTTAAGAGATTAAAAACAAAAAATGGGGCGCCTGGGTGGCTCAGTTCGTTAAGCGACTGCCTTCGGCTCAGGTCATGATCCTGGAGTCCCGGGATCGAGTCCCGCATCGGGCTCCCTGCTGCTCAGCAGGGAGTCTGCTTCTCCCTCTGACCCTCCCCCCTCTCATGTGCTTTCTCTCTCATTCTCACTCTCTCAAATAAATAAAATCTTTAAAAAAAAAACCAAAAAATGGAAACCTCCCTTACACAGTTGTTGTGAGACCTAAATGTTGATCAAAGTACAGCTTTCCATTAATTTTAGTAATTAGTGATCTCGGTTGCTTGATAATTCTTTTATCTGTCTGTAGTCAACAGCCTTTTCTGTATGGGGTTTTCCCGCAAATTAGCAAGGAAAATGAGAACTATAAAATAATAGAGAATATTGTTTATGAAGCTCTAAGAATACCAGACCTTGCTAAGTGCCTCAGCTGCATTAGTTCAAACCCATGAGGCAGGTACCAACACTTGACCTGTCTGACAGAGGGTAAAACTCAGAAGCTCAGAAAGGTTATGTAATTTGCCCATGTCACACAGCTGAAAAGTGACAAAGCCAGCAATCTGGACCCAGCCAATCTCAGGCCTTGGCACCCAACTACAATGAGTGCTCCGCAAAGCAAGGCACAGACCAGTGCTGGTCTGCAAACTGTTGCCAGTTCACAACAAAGTACAGAAATTGAAAATAAATGTTTAGAAACTTAACAGCAATGTGACAAAGTAATTTTATATCTGGTGAATCTAGTAACAATAGGCTCACATTTTGTATGCTTTTAATATTTTTTCCTTTTTACTAGCTGATTTATGTTGGTTCTATAAAAATATTGATCCACAATCAATTGGGAATTAGAAACCAGTCCTGTCAACAATGGTTTGAGAAGCCCACTCTGCATTCTACCGCCTGCCAGGAAAGATCCTGCCACAAAGGAAGCCTTATGTGTGGATCCTAAGGTTCAGAATAAGGGAGACACGCTCGGTGTGGAGAGGCCAGAAGGTAGGCTCCCTGAGGAAAAAAAACCGGGGGAACTAGCGGGGAGGCCCCGACAAGATCTCCACTAGGGTAAACAATGAGCCCCTGCCTCCCTCTGTAACCACAGGGCCTTTGTACCTGCAATTTCCTCTGACCATAAGGTTCCTCCTATAGACTTAAAGGTAGTTAGCTTCTTGCGTTTTGGTTCTCAGCTCAAATGATACGTCCTCAACGAGGCCTTCTTGAGCTTCCTACCTAACCCCCAGCTTCCTATCCTGCTTCATTTCTCACGTGGCACCTGTGACTATCTAAAAGTAGTTATTTTTACACGTTTGTCGCGGTCTCTACAACGTAAGCTTCTTGAGAGCAGGAGCCATACGTTCCCGATGACCACCGTATCCAAAGCCTAGACAGTACCTGGTACACAGTTTGTAATCGGTACACATTTACTGAATACACGAATAAGAGACCTAAAAAGATGGTACACAAAGAACTTCCTGGCTATGTGAATAATTTCCGCTCGTAGACCTGTTTCTGCCTCTGTAAAATGGGGTCGCGCTGCCCGCCCAGTCTGACTCCACCGGAAGGGATTCTTTCGGGAACGTTCGGGGGGCGGGCACGGGACGGTGGACAGCGACCTGCAGCGTCACGTCCGCCAAGGTTACCTGTGGGACTGGGGGCGAACCGCACTCGCACCGCAGCCCCGGGATCAGTGCCCAGGCTGGCCTCGCGCCGTCCCATGGGGCGGCCCAAGGCCGCTGGGGGCCTCACCGACTGCAGCAGCCTCTTCAGGAGCACCGCCATGTGGAATAGAAATGCACACGTGGGCTTCCTCGTGCATCACTTCCGGGGCCTCTCCCAGCCAGTCCGCTTCAGCCACAGAGGGCGCAGCCCCGCCCCTTAAAGGCGCAGGCCTCCTAGCTTGCAAGCCCACGCCCCCCAGCGCGGCTGCAGCCCCACTCGGCCTCTAGGGGGCAGAGCCCTTCGAGCGGGAGATTTCCCGGACCCGCCCCCCTCGGCTCCCGAAAGCTAAAGCGTGGCAGGGGCCGGGCCGGGAAAGCGGAGGAGGCGGGTCTCCATAGAAACGTCCACCTGTTTCCGGCCAGTCTGTGCGAGATTAGGGGCTGCTGCGGGGGCCAATCTCAGCTAGCTCGCTTTTTCCCAGCGGCCTCTGCGGGAGTGGTGGGTGTTGTACACAATCATCATGGCGGCGGCCGGAGCCCCGGATGGTGAGTGTGGCGGGGGTGGCGAATGCCCGGGTTGGGCCCAGGTAAAGCGGGCCTCGGGGAGGGATGCGGCCCGGTCCGGTGGGGAGCAGCCTGGCTCGGGAGTGGAGGTCCGGCGGCGCCCGAGCGGGGTTCGGCCCCAGGCCCAGCCTGCGGCGAGCGCCCACCCCCCCCAAACCGCTTGCAGGCATGGAGGAACCTGGCATGGACACGGAGGCCGAGACTGTGGCGACCGAGGCCCCCGCGCGGCCCCTGAACTGCGTGGAGGCCGAAGCCGCGGCGGGGGCGGCGGCCGAGGACTCTTGCGCGGCGCGAGGCAGCCTGCAGCCGGCGCCGGCCCAGCCCCCTGGGGACCCTGCGGCCCAGGCCTCGGTCAGCAACGGCGAGGATGCGGGCGGCGGCGCGGGCAGGGAGCTGGTGGACTTGAAGATCATCTGGAATAAGACTAAACACGACGTGAAGTTCCCCCTCGATAGCACAGGCTCCGAACTAAAACAGAAGATTCACTCGATTACAGGTAATCGCAGTGGTACTGTTAGGGGACAAGGCAGCCTTCCCCACCCCGCCTGCCGATTCCTAGTGCTCGCACTGTTAGGCACCACGCGGGCCACTCTTTGCATCCACTCCCTCAATGCTTGGAATAGTTCTCCGGAGTAAGTACTGGTATACCCATTGTTCAGGTGGGGAAAATGAGACCCAAGATGATAGAACTAGAAAGTGGCTGAGCCGAGATTCAGGCCCAGGTCTGACTCTTAGGCCCAGACTTCTAATTGGTGCTGCCCCAGACATTTCTAATGAAAATCTGAAGCACGTGTTAAATTTATAGCTCCTAAACCCTTTTCTCTGGAGAGTTTGATTCAGTGGATCTGGAATGTGGCCAGGAATTCATTTTTAGCAAATACCTTGGGTAGTTCTCGTAAGAGAAATTTAGGAAACATTGCTGTTGACTATCATGCTTGCCCCTTCACAGATCCTCATATTTAGTTTTTAGTCTTGTTTTGTTTACAGTAATTCACCAACTGAAATGATTTCTTTTTTAAGCTTTTTCCATGTAGCCTGTGAACACCCAGTAAAAACAAGAACTTTATCCTTAAGGGTTTCTGTATCACTGAGGCCTGTGGATTCTCAGTATTTGCGTGATCAGAGGATTGAGGAACGACTGGGAATGAATGACAGCTAGCATTATTGAACGATTACTTAATGCCAGACACTGCACTAAATATTCTGTTTGTTTTAATCCTTAAAAGAAGTCTACGCAGAAGGAAATGCTGCCATCACAATTATAAAATTTTGGAAACAGGCTCAGAGGTTGTCAGTTGCCTGAGTGCACAAAGGTGCTGGAACAGTATTCATCTCCAGGTCTGTTGCCAAACGGCTCTGGTCCAGGTACATTTTTCATCCCTTTCTTTCACTGTCTCCCTTTTTCCAAGGTCTCCCTCCTGCCATGCAGAAAGTCATGTATAAGGGACTCGTCCCTGAGGATAAGACGTTGAGAGAAATAAAAGTGACCAGCGGAGCCAAGATCATGGTGGTTGGCTCCACGATAAATGATGTTTTAGCCGTAAACACACCCAAAGATGCTGCCCAGCAGGATGCAAAGGCCGAAGAGAACAAGAAGGAACCACTCTGCAGGCAGAAAGTGAGTCTGTCATGTGATTGCTAGTCCTGGGAAGTTTGGGGCTTTGTCCTCTGGAGCCTTGGCTGGTTATATTCTCCCTAGAATAAGCTCCTTTTCGGACAGGGCCCATGATGGAAATTTATGGCAGCAGTTGGGTGCGGCTGACTGTTGAGTGGAGGTGACAACTACCTGAGATTTGCAACTTTGTCTCATCTGGCGGGTCAGTGTGTCTCAAGTCTCTTTACTTTAGGATAAGGCCTTTGTAAAGGCAGGCTTCAGACAAGTATTGAAAGGAATCAGATGTGCGTTTCTCTAGTGCCAGAGAAAAATGCCACCAGCAGAATGAACCGCCCCCATTTTGTACAAGTGCTTACATTTGTTTTTTGGTTTGTGGCTTCCCCCGAGTCAAGCCATTTCTGGATAGCCATAGAACTCCGCAGCTTTCAGAGGTTCCTCTAAAACTGACTTCTTCAGGAAGCCAAATGAAGCTGACTAGGAACATAACTACACTGGCTTTGGTTTTTTTTTTTTTCCCCTTGTGGTCCATGAAATGGGGACCTGATTTTTTATATCCTGTTGCTCATTTTGGATGGAAGAGATCCAGCCTTGTCTTGTGCTCATTGTAGCGATTAAAATTCCTTTTCGTAATTAGGAAAAGTGAGAGTATTTTACCACAGAGGGAACTGGTTGGAAGAACCATCTCTTGCAACCTTTCCACCAGAGAACCCGCTCATTGTCATGGGGCTTCTTGGCTATGACTAGCAGCTTTCCAGGAAAACAGATATTCTCAGCTTAACCTGTGTCCTGAGTAGTGTAGATCAATTTGGGGGTTTTTGTTTGTTGTGTTGTTTTTCTGGTTTTTAGTTTTGTGTTTTTAGAGTAGACCAGTTTGAACCAAGATTGATTTTAGTGACTCTAGGCACCAAGGCATATGGCTAATAGTGTGAGGAAGATACAGTTTTGTATTACAGGCCCATGACCCTCTATGTGTGCTTCGCAAACCTGACCAGGCATCAAAACTTGACCAGAATTACTGTGAATATCCATGTTTTGCTACAGAAACGTTAATATGTTAGAACGACAAGGTACTGCCCCAGATTCTACAGAGGATAACTTGTAACATGTTTTTAAACCGTATTCCTTTTATAAAGTCCATAAGACTTGGGTTTTATAAAACTCTAAAACATTTAGTTACAGGGTTTTAGATGAGGAGTTGTAAATCTATATTAACATCTAAAAGGTATTTATTTGGACCCTTTCACCCCCCAAATATGGGGTCAAAATGTAACCAATTGACTTATTTTCCACATACCTGTTTCCTCTGCCGCATACATGAAATTGTCAAATGTGAGCATGTCAGAAGTGAGTGAGTGTTCCCACCGGTTACATCCTTGTAGCTTTATACGCTTCTTAAACATAGGTTTTGAGTTACTAATGGTAGTTTAACATCCTTAAAGCTGTTTTCCACAGTACAGGGAAAATTCTTCTCAAAGATCCTTGAGAGGTATGAGTCAAATTAAGCTGTTAATTTCTGCTGCTCTGTTTCATTGTTGCTAGTTAGGAGGAGTTAACACGGCCTAATGAGAAGGACCCGTTCTCCTGGCTTTTTGTCAGCTTGCTCAGGAATCTGGGGCTGCTCCGTATGGGGACCCTTTGCTAGCAGTCTGGCAGTATTGAGTTTATCCCTGCCAGAGGGTCTCTGCCGTGCCAGGGAGGGTTGGAAGTGGCTCATGACCACGTGGTGCTTCCATTTGGTGGAGTTGTTCCCTTTCACCTGCTTGCTGCGCCATAGTCTCAGCTTTACCGAATAGTGACCAGACAGTGACCTATAAAGCCGCCGGTGGAGAGTAGATAAGCTCAGGCATTTGGGCTGCTCAAGATCTGTTTTAGGGAGCCATGAGCCTAATGAGAACCCTTAACAAGCTGCCTCAAACCCTGGGGGGCGGGGGTGGGATCAGAGACTTGTTAACGTCAGTCTGTAGAGGAATCGGCATTTGTCTCGGAAATACGTCTCATGGCCTTCTGTGTAGCTGGGGTTGAGGGTGAGGTAGTGAGGAAGATTGCTACAGTAGTCTTGAGTTTCCATTTGTTGAAGAAATGCCCCTTGTAGGCAGTTAGGCTGATCATCAGCACTGTTTCTTTGGGAGTTTAAGTTGGCAGGGATGGCTGTCGTTTTGTACCTACCAGGAGAACCCCCTTTGCGGTTCTCTTTATCATGATGTTTATTCCTTTCAGTGGCAGTGTTTTTTTTGTGGGGGGGGGCGGCCAGAGGAGGGGATAGTTTATTTGAATTAGCATCCGGAAGCCTTAGTTGCTCTAGAACTTTGATGTCTAACACAACAGCCACGTAAAGCGTAGTAAAATTCAGTAACATTGAGAATTTAGTCCCTCAGTTATGTTAGCCACCTTTCACGTGCTTCCTAGACCCGAGGGTCTCGTGGCTACTGTCTGAGACAGCACGGATGTAGGACATGTCTAGCATCAGAGACCTCGCCACCGGACAGCAGTGCTCTCTCATGTCAGAGGACCCGTAATCTGTACACATTGAAAGCTCTTGACCCGAAACCTGAAGGCTTTTTTCCCTCTTTTTCAGAAAGGTAGTAACATGACTAAAATGCGGTCATCTGTTTCATTTATCATTTCTTCTGACTTATGTTCCAGCAACACAGGAAAGTGTTGGATAAAGGAAAACCCGAAGATGTGATGCCATCTGTTAAGGGTGCCCAGGTAAGCCGGACTCCTTTGTGAGTGTTGTGAAAACGCGCCAGGCCCACCTTATGACTTCCTGAGGTTCCTGTGATCACGTCCTCCCATCCTGTCCCTGGTCCTTCCTTGTGTGTCTTTGTTTCTGATGCGTGTCTCTCACTGCGCTCCCACGCCTCCAGGAGCGCCTGCCAACGGTACCCTTATCCGGCATGTACAACAAATCCGGAGGCAAAGTGAGACTCACCTTCAAGCTGGAACAAGATCAGCTGTGGATCGGCACTAAAGGTAGGCTCCCACTCCCGGCCCTTCCCGGCTCGCTGCCTCGGGCACCCAGCAGCATTCGGGCTTGGGTGCGACTCTGCTCCTCCTGAGGTCTCTCTCTTCACTGTGCTTTGCGTGCCCCTGGCTTTTTGTCTTTGCTTTTAGATGCTCACCTTCTGTCTGGACCCTTTTCCCCTCATTCTTTTCAGTCTTATGTCAGGGCCAGTCCATCAACAGTGGCTCTTCCCTTGCACCCAAAACCAGAGGTCCCAGATGTGTAGCCTGAGGGTCAGGTGTGGCCCCCAGACCAGGGTTTTTTGGACTTACCCACGTTCTGTAAAAATCAGAGAGATTTCACTTGATCTGATGTGGGGGTTTTTGAGCTTCTCTTGAAAAAAAAAAAAAAAAAACCAAAAGATGCAGGCATTCTGGACCTGCATTCTCACACGGCAGCGATCAGCTGGAGCCAAGTAGTAGGTTCAGATGAGCCATGCCACAGTCCTCACTGTCCATGTACCTCATATGGAGCCAGCTTTGTTCACGTAATGTCACCTGCCTGGCCCCTGGAGGTCAGAGTTTGTCCCTGTACTGGGTGCATTTTCCTAGTACCGTGGACCCGCCCCTCCCTCCCTACCTGTATGTGCTCTGCCTGCCTCCACCTACGCCTGCCTGTGCCTGGTGGGGCGGGCTTGCTGCTTGCTGTTGGCTGGGAATTGTCTCTGACTCTCCTCCCCCTCTATTCCCTCAGGTGGTTCAAAGTCTTGTCAGTTACGCTCCAGAATTATCTGTGTCCCTTTTTTTTTTTTTTTGCCACTCTGTTGTGCCAGTTAAGACTCTTAGCATCTTTAAACTTGGTTTGTTAAAGCAAGTTAACCTATTTCCCTGCCCTGTCTGTTTTGTTGTGTCCTACCCATCTTCCTCCCTGGTTCCCATGCTCAGCAACCTTTGGCCTGGAAGAACCAAGTTCAAATGCCTAAACGTAGTGTCCAGTGTTGTCAGATTTTGGACCTAGACGACTACCCCGCTTGCCCCGTTACACGCTGTGGGCTTCAGCTGCACTAGCCTGCAATTTCAGCCGTGCTCTGCACAGCCCCACGTCTTTGCTCCTGCCGGGCCCTTAACTTGGAATGCCTTCTTCCCATTCCTTATTGTTAATAAAATCTCTGGAGGTCCTACTTTAATGTCCTCTCCTAATGAAGCCTTCCCCAACGCCTCCCCCACCCTCCAAATGAATTGCTGCCATTTCTGTTCATAGAGCGCTCTGTTTACATCCCCAGAGCATTCATTACTCTCTGACTTGTCTGTCCCCCTGTTAGATTCCCGGAGGGAACCGAACATGCCTAATTCACCTGGTTCTGGCCAGCACTGTAGGTATTCAGTGTTCGAGGTAAATGCTAAAGAGAAGTACAGGGGGTCCCATCACATGAGGTTGACTGGTTTCAGGGACAGGCCATTCGGTATGACTCTGCTTCGAGCGGGACCACAGACTTACGGGTACAAGTAATGAGCGGGGCGATGGGGCGTGAGGTGTTTTCTCATTCCGAATGCCGACACAGGCCTTCTCGTCTGTCGCTGGCTGGTCCGTAAAGTGAACAAAGACCAGAATGCCAAAAGTGCAGGAGTTTTCTCACGATTTTATGGTAACTTGTTGTATCTCCTTCCTTTCACCCTTGACTCTAACTGCATGGTCAGAGCAAGCATTGCAGAACACGTAAGGGCTTCCCCGGTCTTCCCACGGGCTTTCAGACCCTTTCCCAGGTCCTGCAGTCCGTGCTCGTCCACCATGAGCTGCCCTGCCTCTGTTGGCCCCTTCCTCGGCCGTGACTTTGCGGGCGATTTTGCTTAGTTCTCCGTCGTTGCGCTGACTTGCCCAATTCCTGCCTCTTCCTCCATTTCCGCTTTCTCTTCTGGGCAGTGTACTGGAAGGCCACTGCTGAGGCGGATGTAGGAAGTCACCTGCGGGCCGCGAGGCTAGGTGTGGGCCGGGGAGGCCGGGGAGGACTCCGGCTGTAAGTGCTCGTTGGTTCCTCGGGGAACGTTTCAGTGGTAGGAGCCCGTGTAGGAAGTACGTCCTCACTGCAGGCCCGAAGTGGGACCTCCCATACTTGGGGCGGAGGTGTTCTCTCAGAGGAGTTGCTGCTTTCCCGCTTTGGCACAAAGCACTCGAAAGAATCGTGACGGGTTGGGGTTTCAGAGCTATCGACAGCCTCCTTCCTCACCAGCCTGATGAAAGAGCACGGCCAAGAGTGCCGTCTTCACGGACGACAGGGCCGAGAGTTTTGCTCTCAAGGCAGGCCGCTGTAGTAATGTGTGTTAGGCAGTGTTCCCGCTGGCCCAGGAGTCTTGTCCTCTGAACGTCCTGAGCACCCTCCCAGCAGGACAGCCTGTTCTGGGAGTTGGCCACCAGCCACTGGCTTCATCTTTCTGCTGGCGAGAAGCTGCTGCGGGACGGCCATCCCGGCAGCTGGTTGGCCTCTTTCTTGCAAGTGGGGCGTTTCGCGGAGTGACACTCAAGGCTCCTACTTGCAGCTTCAGCTCTGTCCGTGGTAGCGAGAGTAAGGCCCGGCAGTGAGCAGAACCAGCTTCAGGCAGGAAACGTGGATGGGCCAAGCCGCGGGGCGGGGGAAGGGGGGGGCATGCGCCCTGTGTGGAGGGGCGTCCAGCCTGATCAAGCTCATCGCTGTCACTTAGGAATGTGGGCCCAGGATCGAGTTTTCAAGAGAAGCCAGAAATGTATCTTTTTGGGTGAAATCTCAGGACATTTCAAGGTGGCCGGTGTTTTAAAAAGTTTCAGTCTTAAAAACAGCTGCCGGTCGGGTCCTGCCTGTGGGTCACTGTTTTAGAGCCACTGAAAGTCACAACCCGAATGGACACCTTCACATCCATTCTGCCCACCCCCCATTTTTCAGACACCAAGACTCACGGAATGGAAGTAAAATGTCTCGAGTCAGCAGCTAGACTAGAGCCCAGGCCTCTAAATTCCGGGTCTATTCAGTCAACTCATCCATTGGCAGATTCTCTCTTTTCCAGAATTTTCTTTCTGCAAAGGCTGTCCTGGGTTTTTTTCCGACTTGGTTTAACTTTGCTCAGAACTTCCCCATCCCCGCTGCGTCTGCTGCTCCCTGGGGAGGGGGGTTCTTGTTGCGCAGGCACTGCGCCCCCTCCCGCCTTCATGCCCCGCCCTGCGGCACTGGCCTCACTTGCTGCAGGCTCCTCTCCTGCCATCCCTCACTGCCGCCTCTTTCTTACCTGCCACCCTTGAACTTGCTGCAAAATGTCTTCTGACCCCCCTGTGATAAGTGGTACTTTGAGGGTCGATCACAAGAGGTTGTAAATGTTTTAAGAGCACTTTCTCAGGTGTGTGTATGTGGAGGGTTGGGGGGCTGGAAGAGGGGAAGGGGTGGGGGAGGGCAAGTGAGGAGGAGGGTGGAATGGAAACGAGTTGAAAGCCCCACGCACTCCCTGCCTGTGCTAGCCACAGGGGCAGGCTGTTGCCTCTGCTCTCGGTCCTCTTGACTGCCCCGCCCCAGGCGCCAAACACCTTAGCCAGTGCTGGGCTCCGGCAAGAAGGCTGCAGTGGGAATCCTTGGGTGTTTATAAATTGCCAAACTTTAAAAAAAGAATAACGCCAGGAAAGCGCTCTCTCTGTTCTCAGAGACCTTTAATATATGCATGCCATGGCAAGTCCTGTTCCCCATTTGCTTCCAAGAAGTTCCCAACTACCAAGCAGAGCTCTGTGGGTGCGCTGGTTAGACGACCCTGTCCCATCGTCCTTAGAGCACGTGGGAGACTTGGGATTACAGTAGATCCCAGAGCCACCAAACCTAATGAGGGACTGCTGAGTCACAGGAGTGGACAGGAGGGCCTTTGAGTAATCACTGTAATCCCTCTCAACTAGAGCGGACTGAGAAATTGCCCATGGGCTCCATTAAAAATGTGGTCAGTGAACCTATCGAAGGACATGAAGACTACCACATGATGGTAAGTAGCCCGGCGTGGTTTAGCCTCTCACTGCACTCCCGCTTCTCATCTAGCAGGGAACGGAGTTTTAACTGAGCTTTCTTAACGGACGAAGAAACTCAATATTCAGAAGACGCATGGTTTTAAGACCCTCACGTTTTCTTCATCTCCTTAGAACTCAATCCATGACCTATTCCTAAGTTTATTTTTGCAACGCCCACCCACCCCCCATCAGTTTAAAGGGGATGTGTTTTTATATCTTTACCTTCCTCTCATTTGTAATATTTTTGTGGTTAGATCAGGAAAATAAATACAAGGAGGAGGATTGGCTTGTGGGTTTTCATTTTAACTTTTGTCCTGTGTATAAAACAAAATCTCCCACTAGCCTTGGCATTTGTGAGGACACAGCGCTTCTGTGGCAGTGGTGCTCTTCTCAGGCGCAGCCGTCAGGTGGCTGAGGACACCGTGGGGAGGATGGAGTCTGGGGTCATCATTCCACATGGAGGTTTATTCTAAAGAGAGCAGGCTGTTCTTTCCCAAGATAGAATGTTTGGAGGCATTCCCCGAGTTTGTGCAGAACAAAGCCAAGAATTCAGTGATGCGGGGCACAGAGAACGTGCACTGCTCAGGCAAACCCCCGAGTTTTCCCAGCATGGTTAGGAGGGGCCACTTTAGAAGTGAAGTTTAGTTGCCTAAACTCCAAAGTTACTCTGACAGGGGCCTGACCTGAGCCAGGAGTGGGGTGGGGCAGGGCTGCCTGCCATTCTCCATCCGAGGAGGCGGGGTTTTTAGCGGGCAGCCAACAGCGTTGTAGCTGTGTTGGTCCGTTCCAGGGATGAGGAGCAGCCGGTGGCTTGACCTGTGCATCGGGGGTAAAAGGTCCCCTGCAGAGGGAGGTGTTGGAAGGTCCCAGGGAAAAGGGGGTCTGGTGTTACCGAAGTTCTCTTTGGGCAGATGGCAGCTCCCCTCTCTTGCCCTGTTGGTGTCTGTCCACTCAGAGGCGCTGAAGCCAGGCCACGGTTAGGGTTGCAGTCCTGGGGCCGCAGGGCTCCCGGGTGTCCTGGAAGTGATGATGTCACTGGGGCTGCTTGCAGGCCCTCTGGCGGCCCTCCCACCCCTCGTCCTTAAGAAGGATCGCAGACAGACTTGTTCTGCCTACTCGGTTATTTTTCCCATTTACGAAGTCGGCTTCTAGATATTTTCAGCCAGGCCCCTTCACTCCCTTTTGAAACGTTCATCTGATCCGTGTTGCCCATGACATTTGCAGCCCCACTTTTCAAGCAGCCCGGTGAGTGGGATTCCCAGCAAGTTGAGGGGACCATTTCAGACATCCTTAAATCAGTTTGGATGGTTGATGTTTTAATATTCAGTTCAAATGCTTGTTTCTCTCTCAGGTCATTTGTGGCAGAGAGGAGTGCTGATAGTCTTTTCTCTTTACTAAAGGCCGTGAAGTGGCACCTTGATCTCTGTGTAAATGAAAGTAACTCTGCTCATTTTGCAGATGCCATTTCAATAGCTAGATTAATGGTATCATACATAGCTCACACCGGAGAGGGTTGGCTGTGCTTTTCATTCTTAGGGAAATGTTTAAAAATGCAGAAGAGAACAGAGAAGAGTAGAACAAACCCATATATCCGTCATCAAGAAATGACTGTTGTAAATATTTTGTGAATTGCTTTAAACCTTTTTTTTTTAAAATAAAAGAAAACCTACCAACAGCGAATATGTCCCCATTGTCTTCCCCTCCCCCATTACTATGAGCATGATTTCTCATGTGGATCCTTCCCAGCTCTCTGCTTTTGTTTTCGTATAAATCCATGAACGAGATACAGTACTGTTCTGTGTTTTTTCAGTTTTCATAAATGGTATCATGGTATGTATCGTTCTGCAACCTGCTCTTTTTGGTTCGACATTGTGATCTGTCCGTATTAACTGTAGATCCAGTTCATACCTTTGAAAAATAATCCCACATTCATACGAATAGGCCACGTCACTTTTAATTTTGCGTTCCCTTACTGATGGATACGTAGGTTGTTTCCAGGTTGTTAACCAGTTGTGACGGTGCTGCTGTGAACATAGATTTGTTCCTTTGTGCATGTGTGACAGTGTTTCTAGGGCAGTGGTTCTCAAACTGGTCTGTGTATCAGTAGTACCACGTCGCCTGGGATCTTGTTAGAAGCGCACATTCTCAGGCCCCAGACCTCCCAAATCAGATGCTCTAGGGGGTGGAGCCCAACCAGTCTGTTCTAACAAGTCTTCCAGATGGTTCTGATGCACACGCAAGTTTGGGAGCCACTGCTTTAGGGTCGGCTATGCTTAACTTTGCCACCACCCTTTTCGGGGGAAGGGGGGACAGGAGAATGCTCCCCGTGTGCACAGTGTTTCCCCCTTCCCTTAGTTAATTCACTTCTCTGCCCTCCCCCGTGTTTGTCGTGCTGCCTGCTCAGTCTCCCAACCTCTGAAGTACCGCTTGGTTTTCCTTTTTCCCTTCCAGGCGTTTCAGTTGGGCCCCACGGAAGCCTCTTACTACTGGGTGTACTGGGTCCCAACTCAATATGTGGATGCAATCAAAGACACTGTGCTGGGGAAGTGGCAGTATTTTTGAAAGCACTTTCACCTCTGGCCCAGGAGACTGACCCAAAGTGAAGGACATTGCTGGGAGAGGCCTGCAGCATCCCTGGATTTCAGAGTTCTGGGACTTTGTTCAAAAACAAACAAAAAAACCTATATCCACTCTAAGGAGATGTGGTGACTGAAGCCAGAGGTGATGTACTTTCACCATTAGCTTAATTTTAACTTAAAATCACCGGTTCCCTTTTCTGGCAGTCAGCTTCATACCATTTTTAAAGTCCATACGGTGGAAATCAATAAATCTGAGTTCCGAGCACGTTGTGTGGAATACTCTTCGGTGTGTTTGAGAGTAGATCTACCAGTTTTGTTTAGAAAGGAATGATCAAAAGCTTGCTGGTTTCCTTTTTTATTTTTATTTTTTTAAGGCGATTTCAACTGAAATATTTTCATAAATCTTTGGTTGCAAACATTTGGACTGCGTTGTGATGAATTGGGTTTTGGTTTTGTTTTTTTCTCATATAAAATTGTATGCAAAATGAGGGGGGGTTAGTAAGCCATATTTTTCTGTCCATGGATTCAGATTTAATTTTTTTCCCTTTTGTATGTTCTCACTTCCTAGATTTGAATTTTTGTTTTAAAAACCCAAAGATGTCAGTTCCTGGTTTTGTACCTCATCGATGCTTCCTCTCCTGGCCTCCCTCCCACCATGTTGCTGCTCGAGAACGCACGGCGGGAGAGGAAGAGCTGTTGGGTCTAGGGCAGGGAGCTCTCATGCCTGCTGTGCTGGGTGTCGAGCAGCCGAGTATCTCACAGTGACTCCCGTCCAAACGGCTTGCCCCTTGGGCCGCGGTCTCTGGGGAGTTCTACCTGCTGGTGTCCTGGTTGTCTGGTGCCCTCCCTGATTTGGCTCTGATGCCCAGCCTGGCATGGGTGTGTCTGGGCTGTGCTGCCCAAAAGCCACAGCTCCCAGGCCGACAAAGACCTCTTCAATGAGGAGCTGGATGGAAGAATGTTTCTATGGCCATATAGCTTCAGGCCCAAATCCTTCTTTCTTTCGAAATTCCGAGAAATTCTTAAGCAGTCCAACGATTATTTCAATTACTGCTTCTCCATTTGGTCCTTCTGCTCATGCATTATGTTCAAGTGTCCTTCATCCCAGGTTCAGAGATGCTGCCTTTCTCAATAAAAGACCTGTTGACCTAGTGGGTTGGCCGATGTACTTAAACATCGAAAATGGGATAAATTGCTTTCGTGATTAGCTCACCCTCTTCTGGTTTTAGCCCTTATGTTCTTGGTACATGTGAGCTTCTGTTGTCTCCTTATGGCTCGATCGACTCGGACATGAGGGCGAGTCTCTTGGTGAATGATGCCCTTTGTGCTCTTTGCTGTTTCTCTGCTGGCTGTCTTTGCAATTCTCCTCTCCCTGGCTGCAGGCTCTCATAGTAAGGTTTGGCGAGAGATTTTCCAAACTTCACATTCTGGATTCTAGGCTGTTCCCCCTCATCCTGTGAAATGTAATTAGCATGTGTTCGCCTAAGATGACTATTCCTTGTGAGCCAGTTAATGATGATACTCTACGCCCTTCCCTTCCAAGCTGTAGTTCAGGAATCCAGCCCATGTAGACAGACTCGTGCTTTTCACGGTGTAGCCCTTGCCCAGTTATGCATCTGGGCAGGGAACTCTACTCTTGCTTTTGTGGGGGCATACGTACCTATGTGAAGTGTAGCGTCCAAGAAACCGCCTGCTTGTCACCCCTTGAAGAAGGAGCAGTCACTGCGCTTTTCTGTCCCCGTTGGCCTGCAGTTTCTGGAGAAGAGCTTCTGTGCTACTTGTCAGAGCCTCCTCTGCAGCGGACGGGTCTGCGGAGGAAACGATGCCGTAGCAAGCAGAGGGTCCTCTCCGTCTGAACACTGCCTTTTTTGTTGGCCAGTGCCCCGTCCTGGAGACGTGTCCTGACAGTGCCACACACCCACCTTTGTTCTCGCGAAGCAGGTGTCTCCGTCCCCAGACTGGCCTCACAGTGCTGCTCTCAGAGGCCCTTCCCACCAGGTCTCCTTGTTTGCCCTGTTCCGTGGCTGCCTGTGCCGTCTTGCCCCTCCCCCCGCCCCCTCCAGTGAGAGCGTGTGTCCCCTTATCTGCCTGTTCCCCAAGGGCCAAACCGCTTCTCACTCAGGCTGCTGTCATTTCTAGACAGGACCAAAGCCTGCGTGAGCCTTTTTATTTTACGTAAAATGGTGCTTTTTTTCCTTACTTCAAGATACTATATATAAATAATAATGTCAACGACATCTTTTCGTACAGAGCCGTTGGAGTATTGTTTTACAGAGCTCAGTAAATTTGCTAGAACGATCTCGAGCTCTGGCTCCTGACCCTGTCTGCATGGAGACCTTGCTGGGAGCCCTCGGGAGAGCAGAGGTGGACAGCACCAGAAGCCACTGGGAGAAGTATTGGACTTAGATCCATGTTTGGGTCACAGCAGTATTCACGGTTTTTCCCTCGGTCCCGTGAGCGGTCTCTTCCTAACCTTGTTTACGGTCTAGAATGTTCTGACTAAATCTGTGTTAGCAAATTGAAGTCTTGTACCCCTCGGTGGCATCACAGTGTTAATTTGTCCTCAGGATTGTTTCCGTGCAGTCCCTTTGCTGGGGCCGTGCCCTCCCTCACCGTGGCAGAGGACATGCATCAGGACGAGCTTGTCCCCAGGAGGGGCTCGGCGCGCGGGGAGCCAGCCTCGTCCTCTCTTCCCTTTGGGGCGCTTCTCCACGCCTCCCGAGGGGCTGCTTCCTCCTCCAGGGTTTGTGCTGGCGGTCGTCCTGCGGGGCTTTGCTCACAGACGGCAGGCCTTTCTTCCCTTCCAGAGACCACTTGGCAGAGCGATGACCAGGTCATCCCGGCCAGGCCCGCGCAGCTCTGGTTCTGTCAGTCCGGTCCTCTGAAAAGCCGACTCGTGAGCTGCCGGAACTCTCCTGTATGGAGTGTTTTCACTGAAGCTGGGCCTTTCGCAAGTAGCGTTCACTCTTTTTAGATGCGATTGAACTGAGCTAAGGATGCTCTCGTGGACACGGTGGGGGCCGGTGAGGCCCAGTAGGCTCCTTAGTTGCTGCTCTGTCTTACGAGGGCCAAAGAGACCAACTCTGCCACTTTGCCACGTCTCAGAAAAGTTGCCATATTTCAGCCGGAAGGGACTTGCTTTCCTCTTTTCCTTACTTTAACCATGTGCCTGGAGGAGCCGTCCTGGGCTCTTGCACTTGGCCCACCCTTTCTTTGCTGGGGCAGTGAAGGGGAAGGGATAGACTCCATGTGCCAGGGCCGTGCAAGGGCAGGCTTGCTTTCCACCCCATCTTCTTCTGAGGGAGACCTTTCTCTTGCTCTTTGCTGCTCTCTTCATGCCTGTTGTCTTGGAAAAGGATAGTCCCTTTGTCTGAAGGCTTTGTGAGGAAGTCCTCTCCAGGGAGGAGGGGCACCTGTTTCCTAATAGGGCCGCACGGCCTCTCCGAAGTTACAGGTGTCAGGAGCCTTCCGAAGTGCAGAACATCTGGCACCTCGACTGGCCAGGCTGGGTGGTTCTACTGCTCTCTCAGTTTCTAGAAACCTCCTTCCTTTTCTTTCTTAAAGAGTTCTGCAGAATTATTTGACAATATACGTAAGTACCATGTTTTCTTGTGGTGTGTGCTCTGTCCTGGTTTCTGTTTTTAAATCAAATGCCTGTTTGGGAGGAGATGAACGTATTTAGTCTATTAGATCTGCGCTGCTGGATTTTTTTTTAAAGTGTAATCTTGACTAGCTGTCTTATCGTTTATCCTGTAAGATTAGTCTATCAATTAAAGTTTGATAATTAATTGCGTCTCCTTTTCCTTCCAGTTTTTCATGCGCCTGATCCGTACTGGGCATTGCCCGATATTTGGGACTGGGCCCCGGGCCTGTTTTTTTGCTGCTGTGGTCTGCTATAGTACTGTCTTATGTATTTGGCTTTAAATATACCCAAATTTGTTCCTGTGCAAAACAGGCAATACAGTGATTTTGGTTTATTTCCTGTGTTAGCCAGAATGACCAACTGGTCGGACCCACTCGGGGGAAGGCAGCCCTCCTTCCGTGCTCTGGCCTCCAGGTGTCAGGGAAGCTGCCTCCCTGTCCTTAAGCCTTCTGACTAGCGCCATGTGTGACTTCACCTGGCCACTCAGCCTTCGAGGACGTGTTTGATAAATCACTGGGATGGAGCTACTGCTCTTGCAGCAAGCTGCAAAGACCGGGGCGGGGCGGGGGAGATCTATTTCCCAAAACAGGACAAAAACAGTCCTTGGCATGAAGAGTCACTATAGTTTGTCACAACTGGTTTTGAGCCAGTACCACCCACGGGGCCCTCTCTTCTTCTCTGCCCACTATGTAAATGTTCCTGAAGGTTCTGGTCTCCTTGCCCCTCCCTGGCTCCCCCCGCCCCCCCCGCCATTTTCCCAGTATCTCAATCCCAAAGCAATGCTGTCAGGTCCTTAAGGACCTGCTCTATGGGAGAGAGGGGTGGACTGTGCCACGTGCTACACATTGGTTGATGGCCACCTGGAGAATCTTCTGTGTACAGAGGGTGCTGCTGGGTTTTATCCCAGTTTTGAAGAGTTATTTCAGGCACCTTCAAACTAATAGGATGATCGACTCCTCAGATGGAGAATGAGAGAAACTCCAGCCTGAGGGGAGGTGTCTGACATTCTCTCAACAGTAGTAACTGACAGAACTCTCTCTGTGGTAGGCATCCCACCAACCAGACAGGGTAAAAGGCAATGACTTCTTCCTGCTCTTGCTCAAGAGGTGCTCTGGCCAGCCCATCCATGCTATGGGGGTGTGACATGCTTCCCACCCACGAGCTCTCTGCCAACACTACGTGGCTCCTTGAGCCAGGATTAACCCCTCTGGCTTTCCCTAGTTCATCAAGGCTAATTTTGATCTGAAGCCTTGTTAGCCTTACTGTCCTGATAGAACCTTTCCTACTGTTCACCCCGTTTTATAACTCCGAAATTTTCAAGTTTCTTCTGTTTTACCCCTCCTCCCCCTTATCTAATTTTAATTCCTTGCTGTTTTCCCTTTTTTTGTTGTTTTGTTTTGGACATTTTCAAACCTACAGAAAGTTGAATATGCTACAGTGACCACCTCTTACTTTTCACCTAGCTTTCACCAGTTCTTAAAATACTAACCACACATGCTTGCTTGCTTCCTCAGACACACGTGAACTTTATTTTTACTGGAACGTTTGACAGACATGCAGACGTCGTGGCATTGAGCACTCATCTCCTCAGAATGACACTGTCAGACCTTACCACAACAGCATTGTCTCGCCTAGGAAAACTGTTGACTCAGTAATACCTGATATACACACCGAAGTATCTTCTAGAGCTAGTGTTTCCCAACTCATAGTCCTTATGTTTTAAAGATTGACTGATTTGAGAGAGAGAGAGAGAGGATGAGCTGGCGGGGAGAGGGAGATTCTTAAGCAGACTCCCCGCTGAGTGTGGAGCCCAATATGGGGCTTGATCCTAGAACCCTGAGATCATGACCTGAGCCAAAATCAAGAGTTGGGCGCCTAACCAACTGAGCCACCCAGGCGCCCCTGTTTTTAAATCTTTATCCCAATCTTGTGTTTTTTTCAATACTGTTTTAGCTTTTTTGTTGCTAATCTTGGTTTTTCTCTCTCACCTGAAAGTAATTTCCCCCATATATTTCTTTCATCTTAATTTACGTGGTGACCCCTAGATCTGTTCTTCCCTTCTGTCCTGAGTCTTGCTCTTCTTTATGTTGTGAGTTTGTCACGGTTGGTCAGAGCCGTGGTTCTAGAGGAGGCATAGTCAGGGAACTAGCACCTCATGGGGCAGAATCCTCTCATCCGCTGATCACTCTGGCTTCCCTCCCACATCTAAGTCTAGGACTTACAGACTCCAGGGCTCTAGGACTCCGAACTCTTGGTTTTTGGTGACAATCTTGATTCACATGACGTAGGCAAAGTGATAGGGCTCGTGTAACCGGAAAATCCAGTCTCAGACCTAGCCCGGTGCAGGCGCTCAAGTCAGGTTGTCAGGCGCCTGACCCGCTAACTCCCAACTCTGCTTTGCCACCTAGAGCTCTTAATTGGCTTGTTGCCCCTGCCCTCTGCAAACACACAAACATGGTAGCCTTAGCATCTAAAGCATGTCCTAATTGACCTCCATTCATTGTTGAGTCTGGGGCTTTCAAACACTCCAAACTAGAAAACAGAGCAGCTTTGGCAGACCACCTAGCAGGCTTTTGACCTCTTGCCAGGTGCCAAGCCAGTGCTACTTGGTAAGGGACTTGTACACACTGCCTTCAGGTCCTGTGACATCAGCTCCTTCATCGGGTCTTAACCATGTGCCAGGCGCTGGGTCAGATGATGCACATGCGTTGTA